TCACAACAGAAGAGATAATAATGAGGAAGAATCTTCGTTTATGTAAAAAATCTTGTAAAAAAGAAATATTTTTTTTTAAGACAAGAAATTTTCACACATTAGATGGGAATAATAGATTCTTAAATTGAAAATGATCTAGAGTAAAAAAAAGACACATATGGAGTTCCTACACGTAGTTTGTTTAAATTGATTATGTCTGTTCATAAAATTAAGAGCACAAGTGAGTAATTGGAAAGCAATTTTCAGGAGTTATATTTCGTATTCATCACAAAATTTCGTCATAATAAATACATAAACAAGATCATAACAAATGAAAAATAAAATTTTGTGTAACTTAATGGACTACATAGTAATAATATATTTTCTAATATAAATTTAATAGTTACAGGAGCTACACTTTGGGCTATGGCAAAATTGCTTTAGAGTCAAAGGAGAAGACAATTTTAAAGGAAAAATGAGAGGAAAAGGTTACCCCCCTCACACACACCTGGGAGCAAGTGTAATATTCTATTTCAATGGGAAAATTAAAGTGGGCAAGGGAAAGAAAGAAATCACACACACACACATCTCCGTTAAAAAAAAAAGGGTCTTCCCTCCCTTTTTTAGAGTACTCGATTGATTGTTTGTTAACATTGCATTTCGAAGTTATTTGAGAGTTGCTGGTGATAAACGTCGTAATTTTGAATCTGGTATCCTATTCTTTCAGCTTCCATAGCACTCAAACATGAGGACTTACAGCCTGGATAAATTTAATACGCATCATTTGCTCTGATAAGGAGGATCTAGTGTTACTAAGATTCGAATCTATGACTCGAATTCTCAGCCATGACAATTCGGCTACCATAGCCACTTGAAACAGTCGAAATTTACAAAAAATACAACACCGACGTATGAACTTATACCCACCTCTATATCAAACTCCTAAGCTTTATTAATATTTTCAAAAGCTTTTATCTTCTTAGCTCATTACGTCAAAGTAAACGACTAGAATATATTATTTAATACTTGCTACGCTTTTAATTATCCTTATTTGTTATTATTTCCAAAGAACAATTTCTTTTGAGGTGTTTAAAGTTAATTTTACTAAAAATTAAGCTTAATTTTCCTCATTACAAATTTAGTAGTATATGATAATGATAAAATAAATATTATACTAAATTTTTTGTATAATATTAAGCACAAATCTCAATAGAAAGCTCCCAATACAGTAGGTGAAAGTGCCCTCGCCTTCTTCTCTTATCAGCATACTGATAAGAAAGATGAGCGAGTGAATATTAACGTCACACAGTTCAGCTACACGAAGGCTTTTGACGACGAACCTCGTAATTTTGAACCATGGTCAAGTAACGAGGACGACACCTGAGCTGGCACCCCCCTCTCCTAACTACCACACTACACCAAAGAGAAGACGTTTGAGCTCTCGACAGATTTAATGTGCATTGATCCCCTACACGGAGGGTCTTTAGTGGTACTGGGCTCGAGCTCATGACATGCCTGCCATGATCCGATACCTTGACCACTGGGGGGGCTACCACATCTCCTAAAAAAGATTAGAAAGAAGTCCATAAACACTCGCCTAAGAAGAGTGGTGGTATAACGTCATTTAGCAGTGGCGTAACGGAGAATATAAGGGACCCCTCGCAAAGTCAGGCTTTGGGCCCGTAGAATCCTGCCCCCCAAAGGAATGCGGGAGTTGTGGGGGTGCACTTTACGTCACTTTCACTTAGGTTCTTCGTCTAACAAGCGATGATAAAAGAGAAGCTCCTCCCTACTATATTAGAGACTTACCATTTTTTAAACATATTCTTTGCTGCTTTTAATATTTTATTAATTTAAATATTTATAAATTACAAGTGATAAAGAATCCAAAAATATCCCTGAAAGTTTCTTTTTTAGTCATTATCTTCACCACATGAAATGAAACGAGTTGAAAATAAATAAATAAAGCTCTACCGAGACACTAACTCAATAACAAAGAGTAAGAAAACACTCGAGCTCTTTTAAGTTAGTGCGGAAAAAATGCCCCGTAAAGCAAACTTTGCAACTTTGGTGTTACAAATGAGGAGGTTCTTCTACCCGACTTGAAAAAAAGGAAAAAGATAATAAAAAAAAGTTGCAATTTATCAGTCCAAAGAAAAATGAAGAAGTCATAACTAAAACATTTTTCACAAGTAAGGAAAACTAATCAAAGGGATACACTAGATCGCACGTGTTTTCGATAAGATATTTTTTTCCCTAAGATGTTATCAGTTAGAACTGTCAAGATTATTTTTACTTTTTCTTTCAACTATCGATGCCGAAAAGCTGCCGATACTTGAAACAATTTTCGAATCTTTATTCATATAAGAACTAGTATTTTCTTTTTTTTTTGTGATCTCCAACCGATAATTTTGGTCGCCAGATGTTTCAATAGTATTGTCTTTCCATTTTTTAAGAGTGACTTTCAAAAAAAAAAAAAAAAAAATAATAAAAACTCTAGATGCTTAGAAATTTTCTTAGAATTTTCTCAAAATATAATCGCTATGGTAAGGAATTAAATAAAATTCTTTGGTTTTTGTATGGAATATATGTATAAATTTCATTTTAAATCTTGATCTGAATGTACAGAATAATGCTATTTAAAAGTGAAACAGATATTTTATTCTATATTAGGTAAAAGAATTTAAGTTAAGAACAGAAAGAAAGGACTCGGATCTTTTAGAGAGTACTTTAAAGTAGTTTGAGAAAATGAGATTTTTCAATTATTGTGTTAAATAAAAAAGAAATAATTGAAATAATGATGAGGTGAATTCAGTGGGTTCTAATTACAGATGTATATTATGCAAATATAATATCATACACATATTTTAGGCAATAAAAGTATTTTTATAATTAAAAAATAATGAAATAACTTAAAAGAATTGCAAAATGATCCAAATGAAATTAAGAATCTCTTAGACAGTCATAAAAAATACACTTAAGGCTTAGCTGATGAGATTCAAATCTAAGTGCTAACTTTTGGCGGAAGTTTTCATTCTAAATGTAGCTTTACAAGATATTCTTTAGACAAATATTATATAATGAAGTTACTTCAGACATCGAAAAATACATATCATGTAAAACTATACTTTTATGTATATCATACGATGAAATAATGTGGATAGCATATTCAAAATGCTAAATAATAGAGGAAATTGTTTGAAACAGCACTATAAACGTGCTTGATAGTTCGGAATTTCGAATTAAAGTCTGATGAAAAGGATGGCATAATTGATTGGATACATCACTCACAAAAACAGTAGATTTAGAATTTTAATCAAATGAAAAAATGCCACACAAAAACAACTATCGCAATCACACATTTAAGCTTATAAGCAACTAAGTTTTTTAAAAAAAAGCTCTTTTTTACTTACTTGTATTCTGACATATCTTACTTTTCAAGCACATCACTTTCTCCATGTGTTGTGGTCTTTGAAAAGTAATGCCCTTACATAAAAAATCGCGAAAGGGGAGTAACATGTTCCAGAAAAAAAGTGATTTAAGGGGTTAAAGATAACAGTGACGTAATGATCCCAAGAAAAAACAGGCATTCGTGCAACGGAGTCTAATAACAGATAATAGTCGCATAACAATGCTCACTCTGAGTATGCCTCACAGGTTATAACGAAATCGCCAAAAGGCGCCAACGAAGGGTTTCCTTCCGAAACAAAGGCCTGACATTGAAGAGAAAAATCATTTACGTTGTTCGATTCTATAAAATACGTGCCACTTGGAGCGTTTTCCCCTTCCTTCCCCACCAGAAACTATCGAAATTAATCGTTGGATAATAATACGCGGAATTTTGAAGTGGTAGCTAAGCTGGCAGCAACGTGCCAGTCTTTGACATATGGTTGAATCATTACACAGGGACGAACGTCGGAACTCAGTTGCTGCTCACGAAACTGTGTAGCTAGCTTGTGTACAATCACGTACACTTATTAAGAGTTTTCTTAATTAGAAGAGGTAATCACGAAGAAGTGCGCAACTGCGCGATACGATAGAGTATTGTAGCAAGTATTTTAGAAGAGATGTTTGTTCTATGCAAGGCAATGCATCATTAGTAATTTGAAAAGAGTAATACTTCAACCCGCTGTGAGAAAATTAATTAAGCAAACACGTAAGTTAGTATGTATGGTATTTAAAATTTTATACCTGGAAATTGGTTGATTTATTGTGGCAAGGCGATTGCAAATCAAAAATTGTATTTTGTAAGAAATAAATAGAAAATATATTGAACGACCATTGAGATGGAAAAAAAAAAAATACCTAAAAAAAAAATACTCGAACAGCAGATTTTAAATAAAAATATAATTAAATTTTAATACTGTTTTTTTTTAATTCCTTAATTTTTTTTTACCCTTAAAAATTTTAAGTTTTTTTTTTGCTGTTAAATATGACTTGCCGCCCAGTCAATATGATGAATATGACCATCGGCTTGTAACCGAGTGGGTTCGGGTTCGAATCCCGAGTAAGGCATAGTTGTATCTTCTTCGGGGAAAAGAAGTCGGACTTTCGCCTGTAATGGATTACCGTCTCGAAAGGAAAGCAGCGCACCCCTTCTGTTATATTCTGGGATCATCATTTATAATAAATGTCTATATTCTTCTGCTTGTATTATATATTTCTGTTCCTCTTCCACTCGTATTTCGTATGTATGCCAGGATAAAAACACGACAACAACAAATATGACTGTTATAGAAATTTTCTCAAATTAACTGTAAGAATGTGTTTCTTTTTCAGTTCCTACTATTGGTTCACCCTCTCCCTATATATATGTTTAAATTTTCAATCGTTAATAAAATACATTTTATTCATCCACTGAAGTTCAAATAGATTTTTTTTAAACTTGTAGAGGATGACACTTGGTGCTAATACAGTTTTTTCAAATATTAATTCATTAAATATATTTAATTAATGAATAAATAGTAACAAACAAAAATAATATTCCAATACCATATATAAAAAGGAAAATCGCTCGTTGTGTCCCTGTAGAAATGAATAGCGCGCGTTGGACTTCTTATCCAAAGGTCGAGGGTTCGAACCCCTCCAGGAATGGCCTAATTTTTGAGAATGTGATTTCTTTTTACTATATATACTATTTTATTGGAATAAATAAATTTAATTAGTGAATAAAGAGTAACAAACAAAAATAATAGTCCAACACCATATATAGAAAGGAAAATGGATAATTGCAAGGAAAATAGCTTTCTATTTTGTCACGTAATATTGTGATTTTGTGTGTCATATATGTGTATACATCAGTGGCGCACACAAGGGAGGGGTCCTGGGGGTCCGGACCTCCACCAAAGCCCTTGATTTTTTTTCCGATTGATTATAATTCTAAGTATATAGTACGTAAAATTTACCTAAGTATTTGTTATTAATGATTAATTTTATTAATTAATGCTAATTATTTATTCAATAATTAGTTTTTTACTGTGTTTTGTTCCCGAAAATCGACAAAATCAAAAGGAGCATGATACAAGATTGGTGAACTTTCGCCCCCCCCCCCGTCCTTAAAAAATTCCTTTGTGCGCTACTGGTATACATATTTATATTAATAGTAACTATTTAATAAAAAGTGACTAAAATGAAATTTTTCTTTGTTGACCTAAGTAGGAATTGACTTAAATTTTTTTTATATATTGCTTGTATATATTTAAAAAAATTAAAAAAAAACTAAGATTTTTTTAATTAAAAAAAATTTAATTAAATAGAACACATTCCCACACAAGGCTTTGAAATTCTAAGATTAATTATTTTTCTTTATACTTAAATAAGAATGTTCAAAAACATGCTTTTTATTTTCATATAGCAGACGAAAATATTTTAGCTCGTCTTTCTATGATCAATTGCTTCAAAACACAGTATAAACTTGATGAAGGCTTAAGATACATTTATCTTCAGTTACAGATTTTTCTAATTTTAGTCTCTACCCAATTAACTGTAGTTGAATGAAACGCTTTATATAGGATATCGTCGTCGTTCTTATTTTAATTAAATTGAAATCATTAGCAGACACTTTTTTAACTTTTATTTTAATTGTGTTAACTTACACATGTCTTTAAAAAACTTAACCACTCTTCTTAGGAAACGTTATTCAGTTTCCGAAAAAAAAAAATTGTTTAAAGTAAAATAATACATTCTGTATTTGCAACATAGTTTCTGTCAAATTAGAAAAAATGTGTCGAACTAATGTGATATGCAATAGTTGAAAATAAACTAGAAATTTGTTACCTAAACTAATTAATGTGAGATATTTGACACAAGTGTAAATACAAAAACTGCTTTTATAGTAATCTACATTTTGTATTTTTAAAAATTGTTTCCCGCATCATTTAAGCTAATTAAAAAGTTGAACTGGTTTTAAGTATTTAAACGATGTTTGATATCAACACGCTAATGAATTAAATAAAATAATTGAGAATAATCCTGCGTGAATCAACCTTTTTAATTTCTTTTAGTGATAATTCCATATATATATAAATATATATATATTGAGTTATGGTATAAACTCCTCAGAAACGATTCAATTTATAAATAATTTAATTTTCCGCTAATTTTGACACATTTCACCGATTATTTTTTTGTGGGTATTAATAAAGAGTTAGCATATCAGGAATGTAGACTTGATACAAATTCATAATTTAGGAAACTTACGTTTTTTAACATCAGCAAATGGTTATAAAAGGGGAGGGGGGAGTAATTATCTTTAAAAAACCCTCAATACTTTTAGAAGGTATTTTTTTACCACCTTACATAATTATTGAATCTTTTTTTGTTATTAATATGCATATATGTTATTGTTACTAATGTTACCTCTGCCTGGTGGTGTCAGATCGAGGCTCACAAAATTCATCACGGCAAAGGGCTAGATGTACGCCTCTCAGCCGTAGCTTTGAGTACCATACGGGTTTACAAACATCCACGCCTTTTCCATAATTCGAACCCAGGCCGTACGGCACATTAGTCAGCGTTACTAGCCACTCATCCGGTATAGTGGTTAATAAATATTTATATATATTTGTGTATATATATATATATATAATGTGCCCCAAATAGCTTTAAGTTATGCAAGAAATTTAAAACAAACCTATATGCATAAAATATAGGAAGTATGTTATATATATTCAGTAGCATACGCTTGAAGTAAAATGTAGAATGGCTTCACAATTTTCATCGCAATCCAACAATGATTGTTATCCATTAACGATTGGAAGATTAGAAATTTACATTCCCCTTCCCCCCTCTAAAAAATTCTGTTTAAAAAATTGGTTCATCGATTATAATTTTTATTTTTTGCCTTAATATTCAAAGTATATATTCAGTTGCTTTTAATTAAGAAATGTATAAGAAATATTATAGCTTTTAAGAATTTAATTTAGATTTTTTTACTTACAAAAAATAGTTTTTTTCATCATTTGGGAGTGTTTAAAAAGATGGAGGCTGAACCGGTTGATTTCCTTAAGTTTTATAGCAGTGATGCACATGTTTTTTTTTTTTTTAAAGGGTGGGCACGAGCTTCAAAAGACGAAACCACTCCCTCATTTCTTGTCAATATTTTTATCTCTCGAGAAAATTTTTTCTCTTTCTTTTTCTCCCTTTGATGAAACTTGAGTCACCGAACCCTGATTGCATTTTTTATTCCCTATTGGGTAGCACAAAGTATCTGATCTATTTGAAATAATATTTTTTTTTATTTATATAAAAAAAACAAACTGATATTAAACTTGTGTGTAATTATGAGAAATCGTAACTATTTGAAATAAACATCACATTTTATTTACTAAAAATACTATTAAAGCAAACATATATTGTGGAGTTTATAGTTTTCATATGATTTTAAACGTCATTAAATGGAAAGTAGGAAAAATGGCTTCTATAGACAAAATTAGATTTACTTAAAGATTAATTACAACTAGTATTCTCTAATAAATCCATTTTTTTGTCTCTCGCGAGTGAGTGAGTGAATGAGTGTTCGTTAAAGTCGTACTGTAAAGTAACACGAGACGGACCTCGTAATTTTGGACCACAGCTAAGTGATAAGGATGATACCCGAGTTGGCCCCCTCCTCTCCTAGCGCCCACAAAATGCCAACGTAAGGATTTTGAGCCAACACAGATGTAGCGTGTACCAACCCTTCTATCCGGCGGTTCAGTGGCATAGGGCATCAGGATTCGAACCCATGACTCGACGACGTTCCGAGTTCGTGACCGTGACCAGAACCACTAGGCTAGGGAGTATATTTACGACGCACTATAAGGCTGTATTAGGGCTTTTGGCGACCGACCTCACAATTTTGAGTAAGTGATTGAATATTCGCTTCAGACTGACCACCTGATCGGGACATCTGCTCATGAACCTCAGCGCCCAATGGTCACATATACTGGGATGGGCACAGTAGACCCTGGCCCTCATGGGCTGTTGCACCACTGAGTGAATATTAACGTCGCACTGTTCAGCTACTTGAGGGATTTTGGCGACGGACCTCATAATTTTGAGCCACGGTCATGTGACAAGGACGACACCTGAGGTGGCACTCCCTCTACTAACTATCACACCACACCAACGGGAGGATGTTTGAGCTCTCGATAGATTTAACAAGCATCGCTCCCCTACACGGAGGGCCTTCAGCGGTACTAGTCTCGAACTCATGACACGCCGGCCACGAGTTCGTTACCTTGACCACTGGGCTACCACGGCCCTCATAATTTTGAACCATGGTCAAGTGAAGAGGACGACACCTGATCTGGCACCACATCTCTTAATTTCCGCAGCACACCAACGGGTGGACGTTTGAGCCTCGACATGTCTAACGTACATCAGCCCCCTCTGCACCGCGGGTCTTCAATGATACTTGGCTCGAACTCATGTGATATGCCTGCCCTGATCCCATTACCTTGATCAATAGGGGGAAACTGCTACTTTTTTCTCTTGTGGTATAATTTTTTCTTTCTTTTCTAGCTTAGAGTTGAAGTGGATTGCATCTTTATTCAGAGGTATTTAACACCATTCCTTGAAAGGGCGAACAGGAGACTGTTTTGAATGAATTATCTCGTATTGCCATCCACGGCTGTAGCTACAATGCAGAAATACAAATATGAAGATTTTTCGAAATAGAAACATTTTTAGAATCGCGAATTCATTTAGTTGCAACATGTAAAAACTTCCCATTTTCTAAGTAAGATGTTTAATTATTCTATTCGTCTCAAGCTGGGGGCTTACTGTTGCTCAACTTCTAAAGCTCAGAATGTATGAATTCATTTAACAATAAAATAACTTTTTTTAATGAAACGAATGCAAACAGATTCGTTGAAAAATGCTTGCTCTTGAAGTAAACTAGTTTTAAATTACACCAGTTAAGGAAACAAACCAATATTTCAAAAGTCTAAGAACCTATAATTTAAATAATGCATTAAAAGCTTCAGTTGAAAGTGGTATATTTAAAGTAGCATTTGGTTTGGAATTAAAATATTCTAACGAGGGATTTGAAAACTGATTGTTATGCTATCGTTTAAAATTTAATGAAGGGATTTCACTAGAAATTCTAATAAATGAGGGAGACATGGTATTAACGTTTTCAATCCAGATGTCATTCAACAGGATCTGACGTCCAGGCCTTCTCTTTAAAGAATGTTTAGAGTAAAATGCAGTAGCATCTAGAAACTCAGTAAAATTAATTAGTTTTAACGAACGTAATTCGCAATCAGTCGCTGAGTAATTAAAGTGAGATGCGAAGTTTTACAAAGACCATTAAGATAAGAGCTTCAGATTGAGAGAAAGTTACACTTCGCGCATAATTGTTTCAAACTCACGAGAATACCAGAGAAATGGAAAATGAGAAAATTCACACAAGTTAGTCAATCTGGCAGTCACAGAGGTTATTGTTTCTGCTTATGCACCAATCAACTTTTCTTTTTACTTTCCAGTTGAGTTCTTACGAATTTATTGCATTAAAAAAAATTCTATTCATTAAAACTTTGCAAGAAAATTTATGTAATACAATAAACTACAAAAAAATATGGATTGGTGCATCCTTTGTTCGGTGCAGTGAT